GATGATTTGAACCGGGGAGAGTTCTCTTCTTCCTTGGAGCTAAACCAAACATTTGACATCGCAGTGGATAAAGCTAACCACACCATTATATCACATCATGCCATAGAAAAGAGTCAGTCTTTGCCTACCACTGGAAGTCTGCCACCAGCCAGTATGAAAAGTGGAAATACATCTTCTTTATCCTATTCCACTCGGACGTCTTCCCATTCTGATAAGAGGCATGCAAGAGAAACTAGTTATGACAGAAAGAACTTTGCAAACCCTCAATCCACACCATTGGAGGCTCGAGACACAACTTACACAGCATTTTCTGATGTAGTGATGCAAACTGAGGCTTTTGTTCCAGATACTGAAAATCAGTGTCAGTATTCTTCAGGAAAGGTCACCAGTGAGTACACAGATGGGTCACAGCAAAGACTAGTTGGAGAAAAAGAGATACAAGCTCTAACACCAGTTTCTGATGGCATGGAAGTCCCCAGTGGGTCCATATTACAAAAGTTCTTTTGTTTATCTAAAGATGAACCAAATAGTGACACACATTCACAGAGCTCATATGGGCACAAGGAACTGGGCCAACATCTGAGAGAGACAGTGTCCAGTTGTCTTATTGATGATGAATGCCCTTTAGTGGTGCCAGCTTTTGATACAAATAAAGCCCAAGTGCTGAGTCCAGAGCATAAGGTCATGGTGACTAAAGACACACAAATTGCCTCCAACGAAAAGGATTTGGGAACCCAAAATCGTACCTCAGAATTGATACTAAGTAGCTCGCCAGGACAAAACGTGGTTTCAGCCTTTGAACTGACTTGGGAAGCAGATAATATGGTCATTAGCACAAATGACACGGTTTGCATGTCAACACCAGTCCAGGAACCCACAAATATGACCCTTTCTGTTTCACCTATCAAAGCAACAGAGAAATGTAAAAAAGTGGAAAAGGGAAATCGAGAACTTAAAGACTTGTCAAACTTGAGGGGGGCACCTGTGAACATGTCTAAACCTAGTCTAGGAAAATCAACAACCAAAACAAACACCCCAATAGGCTGCAAAGTTAGAAAAACTGAAATCATAAGTTACCCAAGACCCAACTTCAAGAATGTCAAAGCTAAAGTTATGTCTAGACCAGTGTTGCAGCCCAAAGACCCCATCTTGTCAAAGGTCCCACCCAAACCCCAGGTGACCGGTGTCTGTCCACCCTCATCAGCATCTAACTCAAGACAGTTGACCGTTCTGAGCAAAACACCAAGATCCGACTTGAGCGCAGACACGAAAGCAGAAATCCTCGTTAACAAGACGCATAAGCAGCAATTTAATAAACTCATTACTGGCCAGGCTGTGCATGTTACAACTCATTCTAAAAATGCTTCACACAAGGTTCCAAGAACAACATCTGCCGTGAAATCGAATCAGGAAGACGTTGACAAAGCAAGTTCTTCTAACTCAGCATGTGAGACTGGGGCCGTAGCAGCGTTTTTTCAGAAGATCAAAGGCATGCTCCCTGTTAAAATGGAAAGTGCAGAATGCTTGGAAATGACATACGTTTCTAACGTCGATAGGATTAACCCTGAAAAGAAGGGTGAAAAAGAAAATGGGACACCTATGGAAAAACAAGAGCTAAAACAGGAAATTATGAATGAGACTTTTGAATATGGTTCTCTGTTTTTGGTGAGTGAATTTTTTTTTCTTTTTTGGTATGCTTCAAGGAATGGTGGAGAAAACAGAGCAATTAGTTACCCATTAGACAATAGTATTGCAGAACTAGATTTGCAAATTTGCTTTCAGGTGTTAATTCTTGGTCTTGTCAGGCAGTG